AAATTATGTAACATGTGACATATTAGACGCATAATATTACCGCAAACGGATCAGAAGAGAAGATAAAGACCAGACTGCGGCGAGTGGTTCAGTTACATCTCGCGAGAGCTGGGAAGTGAAATATATGGTTCACGCTTCTGGAGGTTCGTTTATAAGGAAGCCGCTTTCGTTTTGGACAATGTCGTTCGCGGAATAGACGACGATTTTTCAGGGCGGGCCGCGCGGGCGCGTTTATTGCCGCTATTAAAAATCTAATTAAAGCGGTATTTACGAGCTCTCGTAAACCTCGACTCGAAAGGATATCGAGCCCTCTTATATAAAGTAAGAAATGGCGCAAAAAAAAAGGAGTAATGTTACGTTGTTATGCTTGGCGATGGGCGATGCGTTGCTGAACGGGCTGCATTTCAAGGAGCATGAATTGTTCTTAACAGCTATCGATGCAAACTGCACGGTATTATTGTACTTTACGACGCTGTCTATTACTTTAATCGATTGTTGGCAGAACAGAATAAACGCTGACGCGAGATTATGAGTTGCGGCCCCGTGTTACGAGTCTAACATTATTCATGCAACCATCGTGACAGTGTCGCAATGATCATTCTGTTGTACGCGCAAGCATACTCCTGCGATTATGTCTCTCTGAGATGGCGAACTCGAATCAAATGTCCCGCCAAAATAGCACAGCCGTAATTTTTCTTGAGAACAAATGAACGAGTGCATTATGTGGTCAGATATATTTTAAATTGTACGATAATATTACATGAATAAAATAACCGTTAAAACTGTGGAAAATCATCAGCACGACACATTTTCACTAAATATCATGCTACGTAAATATCAAAAATTGTTTAAAAATTATTAATTGTTGAAATATCGATATGAAATTAGTGTGTGGACTTCGAATTAAACCTGTCGGCAACTCTTGTAAAAAATTATAATATTCAACGCGTTTTGGTATTTTAGGAGATGTCGTGTTTGATTCGCGAAGGTAAACCACTTTTTCAATTTCGATTTTTTTAATATAAGGAATGCGGAACTCTTTTTGTTTGTCGGGAACTGTAAAACTATATATAGAAAATGCTATTAGAACTCTTAGTATTTTTTTGAAATTCGTAGAATATTGTGCCAACTTTACAGACGCAAAAGCATGAACGTTTTCAATATAACTTTATATTATTTAACCCTTATGTGAGTGACGAGGTACGCGTAATTAAAGTGTTAAACAACTTTTGATCTCCCCCATCTTCCCTGTTAAATCAATCTGTCCAAAAATAGTGCTAAAATAATATATTTATTAATTTAGGAATTTTCACAATTGCAGCCTTCTAATGCGACTAAAACATAAAAAAATTTAGTTTTTTTATGTTGTCAAAACGTAAAATGTACCCGGATACCTCGTCTCTTATACATAAGGGTTAATCTTTTTTCAATCGATATCACCAAGATATCGAGTAAGATTAACGAAATCTTAGAAATCATCCTTTGATCATAACAAACGCAACATAAACGGTCTTCCGATTGTACGTGTACCATAAATCAGATCGGAAACTCGCCATAGCGAGCATTCCGTTGACAGCGCAGCGAGACAACAACCGGGGCCACGAGATCCCACATTGAATTTGTAGCAACCCTTCGCCGAAGAAGTCGCATACCATTTTCGGACATTGAGCAAACTCCAACGACGTTACCATCTAGGGAAGTGTTAATTCGTGAAACGGATATCACTCTTTCCAAATCTTCTCTCTCGTCTTCATAAAGTACTTGCGGAAATTTTTCAAAGCTTTATCGTAATTTTCGAGATTAATATTACTGAATGTTATATAATTTTCACGTTATACAGTTTATTTTTTCGAATAATAATTAAAAACGAATAAGTTACAAGTTGAAATATGGGAACACATTGATTTCAGTGAAAAATTATTTATTACAGACCGTTTAATTTAAGAAACTGTAAGAGGTATAAGTGCGAAATTATGTCGATGAAAGTATCACCAATGCGTCGATCTCGTAATATTAAAATATGCGCGGACACGGTGGGCAGACCGGCTATACGATACCATCTAAGGTATAGCTCAGGCGTTAGCTCGTGAAGCTGCTTCCGAACCTTTCTTCGTCTACCATCCAAAACGGCCTGCATCACGTTCCTTCGTGCATTTACGATCCAGATTGGGTTAAACGATGATCTTGAATTGTCTGCCATATCTCGAATGCGCTATTGTTCTTAACCGCTTAACATATATTTGCTATTTTTTTCTATTCTAATTTTCTTTCTCATTTTCATAATTAATCTTGTGTCGCAATGATTTTTATAGACATGTTAGAATTCTCGATTTACCAATTTGCACCACACAAATAGATCTAAGGCAAATTATTCTTTCTCGTGGAAAAAATGTAAAGATATGAACATGAAATAAACAAAAAATAGACGTGGAGATATTACATTATCTCAACGAAAGATATGAAATTGCCCGAATTGCAAGAAATATCAAAAGAAGATCAAAAAGAAGATTTAAAGATTTGATTGTATATAAACTATACTTAGTAAAGTTGATTTTTTTGCGGATATAGATTCCTTGATTCCTTGATATTCGTGCCGTTCTTACATAGATCTCGTAAAGGATTTTTCAAACGATGGAAGTCGCATCGGCAACAAGTAACATGCTCTTCGACTCTACCCCGCGGAATTGTTTTCCCTTTTAGCGGCACAAACTTTTTGCGCGATCGTCACCGAGATGCAAGGTACCGGCACGTCTCAGCCTAGTTTGGACACGCTAACCTTGCCGCATACAAATTTCTCTTACTCCATTTGTTGTCCTTTTTGAGCTCGCCTTTTCTTTCATTTAGCGTTTTTCTATATCTTGCGTCCCTTCTTTCGGTAAGTAATTCCGTACTAATGAATCATCATCGCCTATTATCTATAATTGTTACTAGACGAAATATTATTTTCACGTATATTTTTCGCGATATATAGGTATGTCTCTACATTAGAATATCGCTTTGTTACGTTTGATTAATGGTAATTAAATATTCATGGAGCACGGTCGAGAAATCCGGTTCGGATACACGTGTAATTCTGTTAACCTTTCGATAATATTCAACGTGTAGGCGGTATCTCGAAATACATGAAATCAATTTAATGATCTGGTAATCGTTTTGGAATCCCCGAAATGTTTCAAGATTCCAGTGGTTCAAGATTCATCCGCGGTCGCAATCGCAGATTTGTTTGTATATTTTGGTTAATTAATGCATTGGGCGAACACAATCTGAGGAAAGAAATTTAGCTAAAAACTCGTTCGCGCGCCTTCACAAAAATTCGCAGCGGGGTATGACGGTATTAATTTTAAACCGTAACCGTTTTCAAGGTATCTTGTCAGTCAGAAATCGTTCCTGTCCCGGTCTTTAAATACCGAGTAATAATAATCACGATTTTCACACGTTGAAAATGAATATTTAATTACGGTTGTATTTTGCTTAAGGAATATTTGTTGGAGACTAACCCGGAAGAGAGCGTGCATCTCATTTTGAAACTTGTTAAAATATTTTTATATTTAGTAAAAACATACACATTCGACTTATTTGCAGACTTATCAAATTGATACATCTATACAGTAATGTCATTTTTTTTTCTTTTAACATATTTTCTGTTCGTGATTCTCGTAGGCAGCGTAAACTTGAAAATTTTAGATAAATATTATTTTAGTTTAGATTCATCATTTTCCAAAAAAAATATCACCAACAAGTACTAAATATACTTAATTAAGCTTTGAACTAAATAAAATATATACCAATAAAATATATTTCTTTTCTTCCTTTTACGAATTTAATATTAAATTTCTTCGAGGCAGTCTCGGTTAGGTAATCGAATTTTATTATTTCGAACGTCGAAATAATATTTCTTTGAATCAACGATTTTTTTTTCTCAGTGTACGAACACATGCACTGGCAATTACGACTGTCATGCGTAAATCATTCGCAAATGCCTATAATTTGTGCACTTCAATTAATGTCCGCTTGCGTTACAGTACTCGTGCTATTACATTACGATTACAATACGATACGCAATGGTCTATCAATACGCGCCAATCACTATAATTACAATGCAGGAGGCGAAAAGGGTATTACACATGATTATCCAGTGAAATCTGTACACGATAACTAGTTTCGTGAAAAGTGTGCCGGCTGTGTTTTCCAGCAAACAGTTTTTTGGCCACAAAGAACGTTGGTCGTGAAAACCGGAGCAAATATATAGGCAGTAGGCTGCTAAAAGGATGTTTCAAGTGCCATTTTGATCGCGCCTGAATTCATGAACTATAAGTAATGAATCATTGCGATTGCGATCAGTACCTATTGTTCGGAATTTCAGAGCGAGCGTAGATTTCGAGGAGCTTCAAGAAGGCGCGACGGGGAAATGACAGTAATTTTATATGCCTACGTACTCTGTCGACACGGTGACATCGTGTAACGCATGATTAGCGCCGTCGGCGATTACGTCGCGATGCTATTACTAGCAGGACAAATTGAGTTTAATGTCGCGACTTGGGCGTTACACAGCCTTGGAACATAAATGATAAAACTAGTAGAGTGCTGGCCAGGCCGTATCTATTAAGTCTTTCGGTCTAGGACAAATAATTTCAGAGCATTTTAAGGTAATCGTATCAGCATGCAGCCGCCGTCGGCACAGGAGATGTGTCAAGTGACGAGATAATACGACGTATAATTCTCGCTGACGTTATAATCTTTTCGGCAAGGTCGAAACATGAAACAATTACAACTTATCAATTCGTTAGAATGTCTAATCTAATAACTATCATAGATTAATAAATGTCAAGGTTCGCAATATATAACGATATGTTGATTAAATATCGCAATAGTAGCACTCGAAATAAATCGAAGAGTGTTATATTGTAACATTATATAATGGAACTTTATTTAATATAATAATGAAAAAAAATCTAGATATGAATATTGTTAATATTGTTAATTGTATTTAAAAATTCTAGAATGAGGATAAGACGTTCGTCTTTGGAGTTAAAGCCAATGTAAGCTGCCTCCATTCGATTAACCAGCCGCTTGCCGTAGAGCGTTTACCAAAGAACAGTAAGTGTATGTGCGCCACTGTTTTTCCATAAATTTCCTCGTCCTGATTGAAAAAAGTACTTTCTTTCAATTTTCTCAATTTTACATACTTTTTTAATATTTCTGATATTATCTGTTCCATTTAATATTATCTACTTTTTCACTGTTCTCTCTGTTTAATATTATCTATTCTCACATGTTAATACCTTTATACAGAAGTGACAAAGCTGTCGCATTTCACAAGCTGGAGCGAATGGTCGGTATGCGATCGACACTGCACGCAAAATCGCGTCAGGAGGTGCCGATCGAAAAACGATTGCGGAACCACTGTACTTAGAGTAAATATGCAAACTACATAAATACGCGGTATCATAAATGGATTTTCGATTAACGGTCTGTCACGATACAGGAGGAACGTGGTTGCGAACATAATAGAGAAGGTCGTCGAAGGCGATGCAAGCAACGCCAACGCCGGGGACATCGACGAAGAAACGAAAGGTTTCACGTAGTTCAAGTAAGTAATGAATCGCGATACGCGATATCCGATTTTCGATTGCTAATATGTGCGCGCGTTTTCAACAGGTACCTAAAGAAGCAGAACCTAGGCATGGAAAGCGAAAAGGCAAAAATACCAAGGAGCACTCTGGAAAGCATTATGGAAAATGGAGTAAATGGTCACCTTGCACGAGACTGTGCACTACTCAACGTCACAGGTATTACAGAAATTCGTAGATTACACGCAACTAACATTATAACATGTGTATATTTGTTTTGATCAGATGGTGCAGAAAGCCGGGCATCTGCGGGCGCGACGTGATACGTGAGAGCGCCTACTGCTACGTCGAAGGTAGCTTCTGCCAAAGATGGATCCATCGGAAGATCCGTGGTAGCCACGAAGAAGACGGCGATGGTAAATATACTCCGACAACGCTGGATATTAAATACTAATAACAAAAAATAAGTAGTTACTATCTTCTAGACTTAGTATTGGACGAGTTCGAACTCAATCCTAACACCGTGGATAGCTTCGCGCCGGAGAAAAATTCGAACGTTTGGAAATGCGGAGTGGCGAACACCCATAAAGGATCCAGATTATCATATTTCACGCGAATCATCGGCGGTCGTCCGGCCGCACCTGGGAGCTGGCCGTGGCAAGTGGCCGTGTTAAATCGATTTCGGGTATGCTCGTGACGATGAATATCATATTGTTACAAACAACAAATAATAGAAGTCTCCGAAAAATGCCTACAAATTGTCGGGGAAAAGAAAACGGCTTTATATCGTCTGGACCAAAATTAATTGCTTTTCTTTTTCCAGGAAGCTTTTTGCGGTGGAACATTGGTATCCCCGAGGTGGGTATTGACTGCCGCGCATTGCATTAGAAAACGCCTCTACGTTCGCATTGGAGAGCACGATTTAACGGTGAAAGAAGGCACGGAATTAGAGCTTAGGGTATGTGTCGCGTACTCAGGAGCTAAGATCGACGATTCATGTCGCCGCTGATTAATTCTATGACCGCGTAGGTGGACTCGGTGACCATCCACCCGGAGTACGACGCCGATACCGTTGATAACGATGTGGCTCTACTTCGTTTACCAGTTACCTTGACCCCGTCTTCTTCGAGGGGAATCGCATGTCTGCCCGCCCCAAAGCAGCCCTTACCTACGAACCAGTTGTGCACCATTATCGGCTGGGGCAAGTCCAGCGTGACGGATGATTTCGGAACGGATGTCCTGCACGAAGTTAAAGTATGCAGTTTCAATTTAAAAAAATTTGATTACTTAATAATGTAATAATGTAATACAAATGTCAAATTAAATTCTAGGTTCCAATAGTGTCCACCGAAACCTGCCGAGAGGTCTATGTGGATTACAGAATCACGGACAATATGTTCTGCGCGGGTTATCGCCGCGGTAAGATGGATTCTTGCGCGGGTGACAGCGGGGGACCTCTGCTCTGTAGAGATCCTCGGAAACCCGATCATCCGTGGACAATTTTTGGTATCACTAGTTTCGGCGAAGGTTGTGGCAAACGCGGGAAATTCGGTATATACGCCAGACTATCCAATTACGTGCGTTGGATTACGAAGGTGATGAAGCAGACGGACGATTACACTTAGGAAACACAGCGCGTATTATATGTATAACTGTATTATAACTGTAATTAGTGTTCACGGATAAACGAGCATAAAAGTGAAAAATATGTAGGCAATCGAGATACAAATTTCAAGTTGTATATCAATAAGATAAAAAATCCAGAGCTATACATTTGAAAGCACTAAATGTAAAGTTATAATAATGTCGCAACCTGTTATTAAATCGCACATTTCACTTTCTTCAAAAATATGTTTGTATCGTTTTATATAAGAAATCAGGGAAGAAATATAATTTTCGCAGAAATTATCGCAGTCGATTACACGTTTTTATATTTTTCTTTATTTAGCTTGCGGTGATGCAAGGTAAACTTGCCTTGGTAGTCACATAGTCAATTAGACATTTTCTCTTTAAAGTGATTGCCAACGTCAAGATTATCTGACATAGCACACCGAAGATCTGTTTACTTACCTTTGGACCACATATTGATGATTACATATTAAAATGATATATTGATAAAAAAAAACAGTTATACGATTTTTATTCTCAAAGTTGCATTTCTTTCATACATTTCTAATCTATCTTGTTTCCACTGAATGAGCTCGATAGATAAGAAAAGCGCAATACAAAAATTAAACCTTTGTAACTGTGCGATGCATCTATGTGATTTCTTTAAAAGTGTAAAGAAAAGCAAGGAAAAGGTAAAAAGAGGCGAAGAAAATAAGAGATTAATCGAAAACACCATTTCGATTGCGTTAGCAGAACTCTGTATATGGCATTGTAGTCTAACACTGTGCTGCCATCTTTGCAATTGCATGGACTTTCCTCTTCAACGATACGGGAACGTCGATCACACATTATATTATGATAATGAAAAGCGAGAATGTATCTTAAAAGTATCAATGTATAGTACCGGAATATCATTAAGCGTATTATTGAATTATTTTAATTGAATTTACATTTCGAAAAATCCATCTCGGGATGTTGTTCCATGAACCTAGAAAAATTCAGTGATTCAACAATTAGATTAATATGGACATTATGTATAATATATCATGATAAGACAAGATATTTTCTTACTTTTTGATGACGTCCTGCTTCTTCTGTTCATCGGACGTCGGAAGTCCTAGTTCCTTCTGCCTCTGATCGTACATCATTTTCTCCACGAGACCTCTCGTCTCTCCATCGAGATCAGAGAGTTTACTAGGTTCGGGATTCACTTTCTTCGTGCTAATTTCTGGCTCGCTTGTTACAACATGTGCCCACCACTGCATCTTATTCACCTGCAATCGGTTAACGTTAGTTTCATTGCCGATGATAAAAAATACTACAATTATTAGGTACACAGATTAATAAAACTAATCAATGTACATATATAATATATATATATATATATATATATATATATATGTATATATATATAATATAATATAATAATTATATCATTAACGGTATCTTGATTTTTAACGCGTATATCGACATTTTCATCTTTTATTTACACTATCAAAATTGGATTATTAAAGATGACTTCCATCTCTCTCTCTCTCATAATGTATGCCGCAGTTCAATTATAATGTGGTGGCCGCGTGTGCCCCTATCAAAATGGCACCACACTAATTAACCGTGTTTTCTCGCGAGCGATCGACCGCGCCGACCGAAAGATATAAACAAATTCGGCAACAATACTCATCGCTCCGATCGACGTTCCGACGATTTCATCGGACGACAAGAGCTGGGCGGGCATATACATGTGAAGTCTCACCATCGCGACCCGCAAAGAGTCGCATGGTAATTTTGGGGACTCATACTCCACACATCCAACCATATACTCCTCTCCATCATCCATGATCGACATCGACATACGTACTTCCCAAAATAATATACTGTTTCATGAGATCAAGTTCTGGATAACGACAAGCAAACTTACGAAATGTTTACATAATAATCAGACACGAAAGAATTAATTGGATAAGTGCTTAATTAAATGCTACGGTTCGTATATATCGAAAGACATGTTGATCTGCCAGATTCGTTGTCGATCGGTCATGCGTATCTTAAATCTTTGCAACTGGGCGGATCTTAGAATCACCGTTCCGGCAAGGCCGAGGATCGGCGAGGCCGCAAAAAAATGCCACACGGGTGCGGACGCTACCGCGCCTATTATGTGCCCACGACTCACCTTTTCCAGATTAATTAACAGTAGTTTTCCGTCCTCAATTACCCAAGTAGATTCCTCGAGCTTGACCTCGTGCGGGAAATCCCCAGCAAGAATTGGCGGATGGCCTTTCAGTCCGCAGCTCAGGTGTTTCTTTGCGATCGACACGACCACGTCTCTCGGTCTAACCGAAAAGTTTACCTTTAGCGGCACTCGAATCTGTAAAAAGCGTAACTTTTATATTGATATGTTCCCTAAAACGCGTTTGTTCACATGTGGCGCCTACGAAACTCGCATGAAAAGAAAGCTTGTCAAAATTTATTCATGGTATTATAAAAACGAGAAAAAGAATTAGTTCTATTATATATGTGTGTATTCGTGTGGAAAAAATTTGTCTGAAAAAAAAGATAAAGTGAAAAAATTAATTAATCAATCATCTATATATTATACAACAAAATATTATACATAAAATCTCAATTTATTTCAGAAAATGCATCGTTATAGATGTAATAAAAAATTACAATCTTTTTGACTGTTTTAATAATTTCATTAAAAGAATAATATATATTTATATATTATTTTTTTATATTCTTATAATCCTTTCCTATCTTTTAATCAATGCAATGAATTTGAATCGATTTATTTTCACGTATCTTAAAATAATGACACGTAAAAACTCAGCAGACTCTCATGGTCTAGTTGATATGTCCAAATAAAGAGAGAATGGCTAAAATGGCGGAGAGGGTGAGAATTGTTCCCAGCTCGTTCTGCACGGGCGCGTTTTTTGTCCTTCTATGATTACGATCTCGTTGCAGATCATTGTGATCCGGAATCACAGTTCGTGATCTCGGATTTCGGAAACAAAAACATCGTAATTTTATTTTTATTTAAATGACCTCAGAAGAAGACCTTGAACGTTTGGAGGGTTCGCGGGGGTACTCAAATCTTTCGAGCGCGAACTGGAGGTTGAAAGGTGCATTGTAACGATTCACGAAGCGAAATGGCAAAGGTTCGACATTCCTGGGACACACCTCGTTAACCGCGAAGAGTGCCCGCTTTAATTGATGGCAGGCATACGCGGACCAGATCTTGGCTTTGGGTCATTGCCAGTTCGAAAGGGTCAAGAGTAGATCGATCACGAACGTGAATGTCCGCTTTATGCGAATCTAGATTGTCGAACAATCTCTTTTCTATCAAGTCATACATTTGCACGAGTCATCTGAGTCAACGTCAAGTGAATGAGAGCCAATAATAGTCAGTAATTTCACATTCATTAAAACTTAATACCGCGTAAACGTATTCCAACTATTAGAAACATGTTATGATCTTGAATTTCTAATTTAATTAGCTTATCGCGGACAGTCGTCGTATATCCGTTTGGACCTTCATCCTGATGTAAATTATAAAGTGAATAGCAAAATTCATTAACATATTCATATTACTCTGTCGCGACGGAGTGGTTTCTACGCGCGTATTCAGACGTACGTCTCTGTATTTCAATTCCAATTTGTGACGGGTAAACAATTCAAGCTGCTTAAGTTTATTACGCGTGCAAATCCCGCTGCATTATCTTGAACCTTCTCTCAAAATTTATCGATCCACGTTACTCAGGTGACAAGGTAAGGTCTCACGCGTTTACGTAATTTTCGCGCTCCACGCTCCAGCTTCGCGCAACTCGCGGCCGCGTACCCGTCACGATCTTTCGAGTTCCGTAATTAGCATTTGGGCTATCAATTGAGATTACATATTTATTTCGTGTATTTTTACTTATAATATTTTTACGATACGTCGGTTTCCCAACAAGGAGAATATAGCGGCTCGTATACCACATCGCGATTATCCGACTCATCTCGTAGTCGCTCGTTCTTGGATTTTCAGAATGACGACGTGGCGGCGGAGCCGGGTGCACCGGTGCGTGGAAACGGATCATGGCTACCGACTTTGCGCCCGACGTTAACAAAATGGAATATCATTATAAAAGCGGCACCGCGAGAAGGCGAGGAAGAAAACGGCGGTAAGGCTGCTCACTTCGCCGAGGTCTACCCTAAGTAGACTGTAATGTATACGCTTTAATAATCTTCGAGACATTTGTAGAATCCTCGCTATAAAGTCAATGTATAGTAGTATAAAGTTCATAAGTTAGTGTTATAATTAAAAATTTACGCTATTATTTGTTTTTCGCAATTGCAATGATACTGCGTTTCTTCTTTAAGCTTATTTGGCAATGTTTTCACAAACAATGCTCTAAAGCAATATTGTTTTCCTATCCCAATACATCGGTTTTTGCTACGATCGAATTCAACGTTGCCGTCAAATCACATATGCTATATAAACGCGGTTGGCTTTTTATAATTTAAAAATGAACGTGCAAAGATCAGCTGTTCTTACGTGTATTATGATTGGTAACCACAGCTGTATTGACACAGCTTGTTCCCTGGAGTTTTTGCCGAGTAAAGAATTGATCTCTGATTGCACGTAATAAAGATTAAAATACGATTTCTTTCGTATTTGCTCTCGTAAAATTATTTTATTCCGAACGCCTATAAAAAATCGTATTAAGGCCGGTATTCATAGTTGGTTCTTATTTCAAGACCGTCTTAAGTAATGTCTTAAGATGCTAATACGGCTCTGTGATTGGCTTATAACGTCTTAAAACTGTGCTTAAGACGATCCTAAATATAAGATCTGATTATGAATACCGGCCTAAGATACAAATTTTAAAAACATTACAAAAAATATCGTTAGTTCATTGTTCACGCATTTCATCGCTGTTCTTATTTTAACCTGGCACCCGTATAAAACGTGTCGTATTGATGCTGTTTGTGACTGCAAAGACTTGCGAAACTCGTTCTTACCATCGCATCGAGATCTCGTACATTTTTTTAAACGTACATAAGCTTTAGAAATGGCATGGAAATTGCACATTATACAGATTCAATAGTCTCGAAGTAGCGGCAAAGCTACGTTCAGGATCTCGGCATTCGATTTGTCGCTGCGAACGAACGAGCGTGACTTCGAAGGTTGTTACGACCGCTTGGTGCCTCGTTCGTGGATAACCGATTTATTTGGCGCTTCGTCGAAATCCTTGATACTAAAGAATCGGCTATGTTTAATTCGTTTGCGCAACCGAATAGTTCGCTCGAGATCTCGCGACGAGATCAAAATTTATAATCGCGATTCGATGTCACGATATATGAGTACGCGACTAAGACTTTTTTCCATTTGTGAATTCCCAGTAGTACATCGGCGACAAAATAAAATTAATCAAGTGGCAGACAATCATAGAGACTCGACTAATGAATAAGACATCTCCTCAAGACACCAAGGACGATGCGAAACGCAAGCGAAAATATGCGTGAACAAGGTTGACATACTACTTTAATAAGTATAAAAAACCTAGTTTGGTAAAACGTTAGGCAAACGTTGCAGCCACTCTTCAGGGCGAAGATCAAGAATACTTATTCACTTTTATTATATTTTAGTTTGTTTTGTATATCCCACCTTTTTTTAATTAAAGAACTAACCGTTCGTTCTCTTCTTTTGCTTTCACTCTAGCTTCTGACAGAGACAATGTAATAATTAAAATAAAAAAAAAGAGTACAAAAATTTAATGGGTTACGCCGATTACGGTATCATTAGAAAAAAGGACACATTTTTGCTACTTTGTAGTTATTGTATTTTCAAATTTATATCGTAAAAGCGCATTGAAAAAAAATAGATAATATGGAATATATATCAGTGAAGCTATCGGAAAGGATATAAATCGTAACAAATTGCCGTGATTCGAGCGATAAAAAATATTACGAAGCGGTAGTGGAATATTAAAGAAAAGACGAGACACAAGAATAACTTATATAAAGATGGCCATTTGTATTGACGGATTCCATTTATACCTATTAGCGTGAATAAAGATTGATTCATAAATGCTCATTCTAGCGTCAAGTGAACGAGTGAAGTAAAGTAATAACGTGTGCATGCAGTAATTGATTCTACGTGAATCTTTAACGTTGGCATTAAATATTCATAGCGATGATAACAGGCAGATAAAAGAGGAACTTGTCTGACGAACATGGTGCGATAGAAGACTGGGGAATAAGCACGCGTCGTTTAAATCAGTCTGCATTATCAAATCCATGAAATTTTACTCCAGTATGTTTAATCATATTAAATTCGAAGTTTTCTAAATATCTGTTTTCAGTTCACGCAGAAAAATTTTCGTCATACTGTCACGTAATAATATCGTATTCTGTAAGTAACATGTGTCGATCGCGATTAATGCAAGATGTTTCGCACGTCGTTATTAACGGTACAAAATCTGGTATTTAAATTAGCAATTATCCGATACAAGTGCCGTCTCGCGCTTTTCATAATCAGTTGCAGCCTGGTACGGCAGAGGATATAATTATCCCGTGACAGCCGTTTCATTTAATGCACGTTTTTCATTTAATGCAAAACTAAACACTGTTATCGCTAATCGGTCTTTTAACGATGAGACATAAAGCGGTGCAGTACCAGATAAAAGTATAATTTATGACTTCCGGTAGATGCTTTAGATAAATATATAACCAAACGGTAGCTTAATTACATTAGCAATATACTCCAGTAATAATCAATAATCATTAAATAGTTAACACGTATTTATAGAGCAAAACTAGCGCAACATTTTATTTCAGAGACAGAGTCACAGCGTTAAAAAACACATTTGTAACTGTTTATAAGGAAAATAGGAAATAAGAAAAGTTGGAATATTTTACGACGGTTGTGATATATACAGGGTGTAAAACTAAAGATGTTACAGACTATTATTTCCAAATTAAGCAAAATATGAAATTTTTGTGAGTCTTAACGACTACACTTACGATTAGAAAAAAAATAACTTTATCATATAATGTTACTTTCGATACCAAACGGTTGATAGGGAACAAAAATGTCATATTTCGCTTAGTTTTAGAAATAATAGTCTGTAACACCTTTAGCCCTATATATAATGTATATATACATTAGTATATACGGCCCTTAATTATTTAAAATTTTGAGGTCTAGCAGCGCCAACTTTTTTTACAAGAAAAATTTATGTATTTTAATAAAATATTTTTATTTTGTACTGTTACCTCTGTAATTCTTTGTGACCACTAAAAAATACACATGTAAACTTTGTATTTAAATATCTTGTATTCCCTTGTTAAATTTAAGTAAAATTTTTTAATCTTATAAAATTG